TGGCTCAAGACTTTCTTACTTAAGTCCCAATGACTTAAGACTTTTGCTCAATCACATAGCAAGATACTTTGATCTAAACTGCTAAACAAGTTTATCCGAATAGAGAACAAGGTGTACTTGATACAAGTATCATAGTATGGAAAATTAGAATAACAAAGACCTAAAGAACTTAAGATTTCTAAGATATTTAATGTGTAAGAAATCTTAAGACTTTTACAATTATAACACACAACAGAAAATCTGCATATACAATGGTGTTAATAATTGTTGATCTTGTTACTCCTTCTTCTGGATAATCCTTGTTGAAGATTCAGTTTGAACCTCCATACATATATATAGCCTTTGTAGAAACTATTCGTTGAAGAGGAAACTTGATCAAGAGTCTTTGCTTTTACTCCAGAATACAAGAGACGTTGAAGATAGATACACCAGAAGATCTTGATCCAATATGTAACATGTTTAACCTTTGATTCTTCAAGAGATCTTGTACTATTATAGCCATTGAGAGTATATATCCGTAAAGCATGCCAACCTTTCTTGAGTCTTGAAATATGTAGACTTTAGCTGAGAAATTGATTTCACAATACAACTTTCTTTATGCAGTACGAACAACTTCAGCTTTATCACCAACTCTGAATGGTACCAGAACCCAATTTGCATTCACTAAGTGTAGAGACAATTATGTTGCTTCTTTTGATACTGAGACCTTTAGCTTTGGAGTCTACGCTAGACATCACTTAGCAAGTGTTCTTCAGATTCTGCCACCAGAAACTAGCAATTCAACAACTCTCAAGTGTTCTAATGTAAAACAGATTCTGACTATAATATTTACAAGTATTATAACATGCACACATGTAACACACATCAAATAAATCATTTTTCTTTCAATACTTTGTTATCATCAAAACCCAAGGAAAATATGTCATGAACAAATCTTGTTCTAACAGACTTTGTCAAGTGATTTAGAAAATCTTTTTCTTAATAAATGCTAAAACACTTAAGCATACTTGAACTCTTTTCAAAACCTCTAAAAAATTCAAACCTCAGCAAGCTTCTTTTTGTGCCTATGTGCATTTTTCTCTAAGAGTCCTTTTTCAAAAGATCAGATATTAGTCTATTCTTGTAGTGATGTAAACCACTATACTTCTACAAGATGCTGAGAAATGATTGACATTTTCCACTTGAATGTTGAGATGTGCTTGTGAGAAAGTCTAAGTAAATGTTCTCCATATCAAGATGATACAAATGCTCATTTCCTCATGTTTATGGGTAGTAAGTTGAGTTTTCCACTCGAATACGACAAAATGTCTTTTCATTTAAAATCAATCAACAAATAACCCATGTTTTTTATAAACACGGATTTGCAAGTGGTTCCCTTTGAGTACAACGGATGTGAGGGGTGTTAATACCTTCCCCTTGAATAACCAACCCTTGTATCCAGATCTCTCTTTTTGTTTTACTATTTTTGTGGATTTTGTTCGACCTTTTCACTTTCCCCTTTGAAAACAATAAATTTTGGTGGCAACTCTTACTTTTCGAGTTAAGTTAATCAATATCTTAATCTTAATAATTTTTTCCGCCGCAACACAGACATTCCTAAGTACTTTCTCAAACTAAATGTCTCATGAAAACCTGTTATGTGACTCAACTCATTTCTTTTTCTTATAATACTCCCTCCGTAAATATTTATAAGCAAAAAACAATGTTGAACATTATATCAATATTATATTATAGAGAGATAAATTTGAAAAGGTTCATTAAGTCTCACATTGTGTCTTAGTTGAAAAAACTCCTCAGTTCCACATTACTTAGGTGAAATATCTTGGCTAGCTCACTTCATTATATAAGAAAGTTCTCTGTTTTACTCCAAAGCATACCAGAAACTCCCTTTGTTGAGTTTTTCCTTAATCGCTCTCATAACTCTGTGTCTTTTAAATTATCGAAGCGTCAACTTCTCCCCCATTCTTTTTACTCGTTGAATTTTTTGAGTATTTTCTTGAATTCTATTTAGAGAACTATGTTAGTTTTTCATTTTTTGAGTTAAGAAATTACAAATATTAATTTTTAGATTCTCTTTGGAGAAATATTTTAATTTCTCTTGTTTGAGAAATTATTGAGTGGTCAAAGGACCATTATTGAATTCTCTTTGGAGAATTATTGGAATTTCTCTTGGTTTGAGAATTATTACGAATGGCCGTTATACCAGATATTATGAGTGATATTTATACCATATTCAAATGGTCTTTCTATCATCAGAGGGTGTATTTCTAGACTAATTATCTATTATGCAAGTGGTAATCTTATCGTATAGAACTGAGTTGTTTTATCCTGGAGACATCATGATAGTTAGAATGTTTTGTATATTTTTGAACAGTTTCGCAAAACGTCTTAAAGAGAGCGACCTAGTTCGCGACTCGAACCAGTAATTTCTTCAATGAAAATGTTTAAAAACCGTAAAAAAAAAAAAAAAAAAAAACAGTTTTAAGATGTTCAAAAAATGGTCATGGCTACCGAAGAAGTTATTTGCAATTTTGCGGCCGTTGTCTCTAACAAACAATTTAAGTTTGAGGGTTCTCACTTCAAAAGTTGGCAAGATAAAATGAAAATTTTATAAACCTTAAAGAAGGTTGCACACACTTTGATTGAGGACATTCCTATTATTCCTTCTAGATCAACCAAACTAACTAACTGTAACAAAATTGTGAGTTAAGACGAAACTATTAACTCGTTTGGGTTAAAATCTGCTATAAAAGCTAAATCGGATGATTTACAACTCATCCATCCAGAAAAATAATGATTATATTTGTAAAAACCATATTCTAAACGGTCTCGCTGACAATCTGTATGATTAATACAATAACTGCAAAACTGCTAAACATGCATGGGAGCTCTGGAAGAGAAATATGATACTAAAGAAGTTGGGCCAAATAAGTATGTCGTTGGCCACTATCTAAAGTATTAGATGGTATAAATGAAAGGTTTGTGGAGGCTCAACGTTACGAACTTCAAAAGATTGTTTAAAAGATCATCACAAATTATGTGTTTAGATGAACGATTTAAAATTATTCAATTCAAGAAAAGTGCATTATCCTTTGTCTATATGTTGACGACTTATTGATTACGGGTAGTAACGAAAAGTGCATTTCATAGTTCAAAAGTGAACTTATGAAAGAGTTTAAGATGACCGACATTGGCCTCATGACATACTTCCTTGGTATTGAGTCCACAAGTCCAAAAGGGAACTGTTCATGCACCAAAGAAGGTATGCTCTTGAGATATTGAAGAAGTTTGAAATGGAACAATGTAATATTGTCATTACTCCAGTTGGACCAAGGCTGCAGTTGTCTAAGAATGAGGATGAGCAAGATGTTTATTCAACTCAATATAGGAGGTTGATTGGATCCTTGTATTATTTGTGTAATATGCGACCGTACTTGACGTTTAGTGTCGGTATTGTGAGCAGATTCATGGGGAGACTAAAGGTATCTCACTTGACAGTAGTCAAGAGCATCCTAAGATATGTCAAAGGTTTTGTTGCCTGGGAAATTCTCTTTCCCGCCGCGGATACTAGCATAAAACACAATTTGCTCAATTTCACTTATTCCAATTGGTGCAGAGATAAAAAGGATTGAAACTCTACAACTGGATACATCTCTATGTTCGGTGCAACATCAATCTCATGGTGCTCAAAAAAGAAACCGATAGTTGCACTCTTATCTTATGAGGTCGAGTACATTGTCGCTTCGTTATGTGCGTGTCAAGTTGTGTGGCTTATGAATCTATTAGAGAAGCTGGACATCAGTAAGGGTGAGTCTGATACATTCCTATCACAATCTATCAACCATTGAGCTCGAGATCTCTGAAATCACGACAATTTCTTCTAATAGAGAGCATAACATAACTTCTTTTTGAAATCTTGCCTCAACTTTTAATAAATAAATACACTTTTATTCCTATCTTTTTAACAGTGACTTCCTCAAATAAAAAATAAAAACCTCAAATGTATTACTTTTTCACTCTTTAAGAGCAATTTACATATAAAATGTTATATTACAAAAACAAAAGTGTATTTCACCAAAACAATAACTCAATATTTTAGAGTCTGTCATTTTATAAACACGTCTTATTTTTCAATTTCCTCTCACTTTTATTAATTAACAAATAGTTAAAGTATTATATTTTTATTTAATTTCATTCTTTTAACTTTTTTTCACTTTCTTTTCTCATCTAATTTTTTAAAATAACTCGATGTCCAAATATAAATTTGACTTGTATATATTAAACAAAATTTGTTATATTATTTTGATTTTTAAGAAGTGAATGGAAAGAAACAGAACCATATATTTATGCTGCGTCGAATTGAAATTCCCGGAAAAGGAACAAAAAGCCATCACCAATTGTTTGATATGTTTTACTTGCTATTAGAAACTTGGTATAGAATAATATCCATACTCTTTTTTTGAGGTGAACAATACTCTCCCTATATTTATAATGCATATTTTTGTCCTTTCAACGTCGAGAATAACATGCCACCTCGCTGTACTCAATATAATCTCTAGTTACAATATCTGAAGACTTAGTTAATAGCATGACACCTGGTCGTACTTTAGTTATTACTTTCTCCTTTCGGCATGATTAAGAAAAACATATAAGATCTAATAGGTCGGACAAAGTCAACATTTGCATGCTAAAAATTTTAGAAAAGATGTATTTATATGAACATGAACAATTAAACAGTACAAAGGGGAAAATTCAGTACCACCTAATTGGGCGAGCTAAATATTGATATGAACAGGTGAAGAATTCAGTAGCACCTAAACAGCATGAGCTAAAACATCATCAGGCATTGAATTTCTAGCTTCAGAAGTAGGTGGGAATAAAAAAAATCAAATATTATTCCTATAAAAAATATAACAGTCTTGCCGAGCCAGACTCCAAATTTTATCTTCCCACCTGGTTAATGTTGCACAGTCACCCAAGCCAATTCAGAGGAATTTACATTAGCTATTCATTTGTTCAATACCTTTACTGTCATCTGTCGTGTCCTTGTTACTGTCTCCTTCAACTTCAGCTGTTGCCCCATCCTCAGAACTGGATGCAGACAAAGTTGGAATTTCACTTTCTGTTTGAGTTGGATCAGGGATACTGAGGTTTTCATCCAGAGATGCTAATGGTTCAGCATCAATCTGTTCATCCTTTGTTAATGTAACATTGGATGCCGGAGATGAAGAGTCGGGAGCATTAAGATCATTGTTCCCTGATTCTGACTCAAGTTCTCCATTGGGAAGAACCTCAGAAGGGTCACTGGCATCTAAAGACTCCCTCCACTCAACCCACTCGACAGGTTTATCAGTTCCAACAGGTTCTAATTTCAGTTCTGGTTCAGGTTCTGCTTCTGGAGAAGACGTTGCAGTATCAGCCAAGTCTTCATCTTCACTAGCAGCCACGTCTCCACTGGCATTTTTAACATCCTCCTCGGCATTAGGTGACGGAGAAGCAAGAGAGCCAGTTGACCTTTCCTTGGCTACTTGATCTCTATCATCCTCAAAAGCAAACCAGTTGGAATTTGTGAAGAGAGACCCACTGCTCTTACCAAGGCAAAAAATAAGGTGATATGTCAGGTAAAAACCACCTCATAATCAGGTATCAGGCACGACAGTTTAATTTGAAGTAAACTTGACTGACACATGAATGATCAACAAAGGAACACAATACTTACCTTTCAGGGTCATCTCCTAACCGCAAAGAAGATATAACAACTTCCGCAGATTCATCATCAAAATAAACATCCTGCCAGATATATATTATATCAGATGTCTTACAATTATCAACGAATCAATTCTCGCATGAAGACCATATGTGATAGAGATAAACATGACAAATCACCTCAAACAAAGCAACAAAAAAAAAGTGTGTTCTACACGGCAGTGTTGGTTCGCGAAAATAATAGATAAACTAGAGATCACTAATATATTGGCTGATAAATGACAACTTGTTGGCTAGAACTGATTATTTGAATTTATAATAAAAAAGATGTAGCTTCAAATATTGCTAACTTTAAATTACTATTTAAATTTTATTTTTTATTTCATCAAACTAACATCAAAGAATAAAAGAAAATAAACCCCAAAAAAATCTGTAGTTCTCTGATTCCATTTTGTACTCCATCGCTCTATATTGCCTATGCTCATTGACACAAGATAAACAACCATCTTTATTATTGTATCATTACTTTCCTGATTTTTTCACTTTCATAATCAATGGTTCAATCGGGTTTCTCTTTTTCCTTCTTCCCATCGGGTTCAGGCTATTATAACCATTAATATATGACTGCAAACTAAAATGAAATTATTTCTAGAGAAGGTATTCCCAACCACGAGCTCAACAACAACACATGGTCAGCCTGGAGGAAAAAGCTTAAACTCCACTTACATACTTGAGAAAAACATAGATCTAACAAAAAGCTTCACAATGATTTGAGAAGCTACTACAATTTTATAAGCTTGTGAAAGAAGGGAAGGTCTCTTGGGATGTCAAAAGATTTAGAAACTGGATGATCAGAGTAATGGAAAGATATGAATGTACAATGTATTTGCGATTGCGAGGTGAACCTACCTAGATATACTAACGATACAAAAATTGGATGAGATTGTGATTAGCTAGCTCTTGCCTCTTAGGCTAATTGCTTTAAATGAGAAAAATTATCCAAGTCTTAATCTCTACATATTCAATCATGTGTTCATTCACATCAATTCCAACACTCCAAATTATTATTTGAAAGGAAAATAAAAGTATACCTCATCGTCTCGTTCAAGAGGGTGAACCTGAAAAACAAATATAAATCATAAATCATTATAAGCAATAGTACCAAACCAACCAAAAAAAAATTAAAGAAAAAAGCCATAGTCGAAGAATCAAGACAATTAAAACGTAGGTCACCAGCAGGAATTTATCTTTCAATATGATAATTAAACTCCTAAGCTACACATAAAAGATCAAATAGGTCGTTTGTTGTTGCACAATTTTCACTAGAAATTTGGGATAAAATATAGCAGCTGTTGCGATAGAATTTGAGAACTGATTGTGTCAATTGTAGATAAATAACATCATTCTTACAAAAGGAAGCTGAAGCCAATCAAATTCCCAAACACTGGAAAAACTAGTTATTTTCCTCTCTACTCCGATTTGTTTATCCTTGCTCCCTAGCAAAAATATTACTTTTTTCCGTCTTCTACAATTCAGACTGACCCATTCCCTTCGCAGTTAAATACCCTGATAGATACTCCACAGAAATCACCTTTATAGGTATTTTTTGGTTATTATGAAGAAAACTATTGAGAGCCTTTACAGGCAGTGACTGCTAGGACACATCAAGAATCAACTCCAAATGAAATTGGAAAACTAATCCTACATTAAATCCCAATGAGAATTTACAAATGTTTCAGTTTTCCATTCAGTTCCATAAAAAATTGATATTACAAAATATCATACTGCTGCAGATACGGAGCTACTCCACAAAAATTATTGTACCTCGTCCATGTCTTCATCATTATCATTATTATAAATGTCATAACGGAAGGCCTGACTTAAGTTATTTGCCAAGGCTGCCACATCATAATCCCGATCCTGGAAATCATCCTCATCACTATCCCTATTTCTGTCATGCAATGCCGTCGGTCTCCTATAAGATCATAATTTTAAATCATCAGAAAAATCTTTAAAAGGGCAAAAGAAAGTGTTCAGAATTAGAACCAATACAGAAGATGCCCAGTAACGAATCACAATAAAGCTGCCCCAAAATTTGAAAACCTAGATAATCTTAATACAACAGACACATACAAGTTTTTCTTGAAAACCACTAGTAGATGCTTTGGGGCCCAATTTATCATTGGTTAAGTGAGCAATGGTTTATGTTTTTAATAGAAAATATTAGTGTCAATTGGAGAAGACCAAGGTATAGTTTGAAGATTCTATTAATTGCATCATGTTTATTTTTTGGCTCAAGAAATGAGGATAACTTTTTACCATGGAGTGATATTTCTAAATATATGCTTACCAAAAAAATTTAAATGCATGATGCAATTCAGAAAGAATATCAATTTTTTATTTTTAAGCTCTTTCAGATAGTGCAAAAGGAGACCAAGTGGTCAACGATGGGATAGAAAAAGATACAGGTCAAGAAATACGACATACCCACATGCCCATTGAGAGACATTTTCCACAGCATTCCGGTTTGATAAAACATCCATGTACCAATCTGTCCATTCACTAATTCCCTGTAGATTTGAAAAGTTTGAAAATGAGCTTCATGACTACACAGTTAACTTCTAACATAAATTTTCTGTAAAATATTAAAACAGATGACAGCTATTGGGATTTGAGAAGAGAACAAAATTGATCAACAGATTCCAAATAGCAGTATAGCAGTTTGAGTTTAAACAATAGAATGCTGTCACAGAATTGTAACAAACCTGCAGATGCTCCTGAACCACACTGTTGTTATTCCCTAACTGGATGAGTTTGTTAGATATACGGGTTAAGTGACCTATGATTCCTATCCTGGGTGGTAATTTATCCTCAGCTGGTGATGTCGGCTGCATAAAAAATATTGCAAAAAATAATTTTAAATTAAAATATTTATCATAAAAATATAATTTTAAATTAAATCATATTTCATTCATGCTGATACAATATTATTTTTCGGGGGAGAGGGTGGAAGGGATATCTTGACCTTGTTTGTACCAGCTTCTAATGTTAAATGCTTTTCTGCTCGAATAATTTTCCCAACAAAATCACAATCACGGAGAATATGTTCCTGAAGAGAAGATCTCTTGCTCTCCAAGCATGATATTATAATGTTTTCCACGTGGTGATGCAGAAAGTTATTGTAAGGATACCTATGACATTCAAATAGTGTATCAAGGCATGAGATCAAATGAATTCAGCACAAGATAACAGAAATGTTGAACGTACTCGAAGAACAAGTTAATAATTCTCTGTAGTGCTCCAAAATCAATCAATTTCTCCTCAGCAGCTTCGCTACCAACAGTTAATAAGACTGATATAAACTCTACAATCTGAAATAACAAATCTTCAGTAAAGACAACAGAAGTGCTGCAATATAACTTTCCAACATATATAAAAATCATGAACAATATAAAAATAAATTAAAACTTATGACAGAAAACATTAAAAACACAACAACCAGTTGTCAACACAATTAAATAGTCAAATGCAGTAAATCCCGATTAATATGTTAACCTTCAAACGATGTTTTCCAAGAGGTGGTTGTAACTTGCCATAAGTGGTTGGCAAAAGATTTTCAGCGGAAGAAACGTCTAAAAGCTTGAGTAGATCACCTGCAGAAGAAACATCTTTATAATTACTCAAAGATTAAACCAATATAAAGATGCATATGAAGATGCAAGTTAAATAGCATATTGTTCATTGACAAACTATCCTCCCTCATTACATAAGTTGCTCAGATATGGTTCTATAATCAGCAATTGTGCACATATTAGAGTCGTCTTCAACCCAAGAGGGCATATTATATTTGCATAGATCATCTAAGCAACCACGTAAAAAATGAAAACCTGCTCCTGTGGCTTGTGAGCGGCCATTTTCCATTTACAAAATTTGCATGTTTCCCTTTGCACTGCTTCATTCAATAGTTTCTTTGAATTTTTCCCTTGTGGTCAAATTGCCCAAAAAGTAGAAAATAGCCCAGCAAATTGGCGCCCACTTCTTAACTCTCTGCTATTTGTCAATCATTTGTTGACATTGAAAATCAACCCAACATGAACAATGTGGCTGGTTTGACCACCATGAAGCATGAGGAAACCGCCACACTGGTGTTTCCATGCAGTTTGGCTGAAATCTGGCTCATTATCTGCCATGGTGGCAATTTAACAATGCCAAAGCCCACACACCAAAAATTGAAAATTATTGGAGTCACGTGCAAACTAAAAGTGACAATCTTTTGGAACAAATTTTTTCTGCAAATACGACAATTATTATGGGGTGGAGGGAGTATTGTTTTATTTTTTATATTTTTGTATCCCAATACTTCTCAAATACTTCCTCAAATAAGGGGAAGGCTCTTAAAAGGAATTGATACTTCAGAGGTCAATCTAGCAGGTATTTTCATGTTCCAAAGGTGGATCTTAAAACAGTGCCAACTATAAATGAACCTGCTCGTAAGGCATGTGTTGAAGCTACAATTCAAAACAGTCATGAAACTCACGGTAAGTTTCCTTGCCCTAATACAGGACGTATTAGCCCCTACGTCCCTCCCAGAAAGTGTGAAAACCATATTCAGGACTTGGTTGTTGAGGATTCAAACAAGAGTTTAGTTGTTGTGAATGACTGTGGCAAGTCAATGGCAGATGGCGATGCCAACCATGGTTCCTTGGAGCATGTACCTAATCCTAAAAACAGGCACTCAAGTCCAGTCATCAATTATGTGAATCAGGGCATGTGTGGACAGGTATGGCAGCTGCTAGCCAATGTGGGCTGCCACATAACACTACTAATGACTCGGATGACAATATTTGTGAACCCCTGTTCAAATGTCAGTCATGGTATGAAAGTGCTTGCTGAGATTTTGGGAAATGGGGATGAGGAAGATAACATCTCTCTCTGCATAGCAATTGAATATTGATAATTCAACTGAGGCATAACTTGAGAAAGAATAGAAGACCTAATTATAAATTTAAATGATTCCTATTTATTTTGCATTTCGTTTGTCTCCCCTTGATTTTATTTTCAGTTTTTCCTCCTGTTGGTGGGGAGGAAGAAAAATGGTTCTAAATGGGGAGGAAACCTTTGGTTAACATATCAAGACTGTGGTACCCTGACAAAATTCTGTATCCAACATAATTGTGCATTTATGCTAAATATCCTACATGAGTGTGACCATGTGTGTGGGTGTGTGCTAATTTATCTAGGTCGTGTCTCATCTTGAATTTTTAGAAAATTTTCAAGCCCATGTATCAATAACTCACCATTTGTATCATACTCATCGTATTATGCATATGGGATACTTATATGCTATATAGAGCTCATTCATGATAATACTACCACATGATACAAGTTAATGAGTTTAATTTTCATACACTAACAGAATAAAAAGTTCTGCGATATCAGCACATCACAATCATTCATATGTGTGACTTTAGAAGTATTATGATAAATAGAAGTCAACATTATTGAGGATCTGATGGTTATGATTGATTGACAATGTAAAAACTCTACACTGATAGTATATATGAATTAAATCCAGTTTATATCTAATTTCAGGCCTAAAAATAACAGGTTATTGGAAGGTCATGGTTGATGGGGGAGTCATACCTAAGCTTTCTAGCATGCCTTCAACAATCTTGGGATTTGCAGTTACAGTGGATTCGTTAGTCAATTGACGGTTATAGGAATGATAAGCTCCGAAAGAAATTCTCCTCGGGTCAAGCAAAGATATGCATATAGATAACGAGTTAACAAGAACGGATTTTGGCCGAGAAACTTCTAGAGCGTGACAGAATAATCTTCCTATAAAGCTGCAAATAGAATATGATATCAGATATCACTCGGAGAAATAAATGTATCAACTTCAAGTTACACGAAACTGATGTAGGATTGTATGGGTAACAAGTAAAACTATAAATGTTTTTACCTTGGGCTGGAAATTTTGGCAGAGAGCCCCGCTGGAGCAAACCGTGTAATGGCACAGAGTGTTTCTGCTGTATTAGTATGCACTTCTGGAGAATCCTATGCAAGACACGCCAAAGGAATGTACGGTCAATAAGAATGTATGTTCTGGCCTTCTCAATAAAGAGGGTCTGGTTATGCACAAGGTATGTTCTGGCCTTTATAGATTGGAGTGGGTTTAAAGAAGTTTTATCATAGGAAAGTGGTAGTATAAGTAACACAATGATAAAATATCTATCAATAGAAAAAACAAAACTTCAGCATGAGTGAATATGCTCAACAGTGCAATACAGTTATTAAATCCTATAGCCTAGGAACGCCAAGGACAAAAGCCACCACACACACACACACCTCCCACAAAAAGGAAAATTATCCTTACAACCTTATTACAGCAGTAAGGAAAACAAAATGTACTAGGTACACGAGCATTCCAATTTCTAATCCAACCAAATACATCTCATAATTAGAGAACACAGGATTTTTTTCATGAGTGTTTGCTCTCAAATAAGGATTTTCTACAAGCTTTCATACACCTGTTTAGCACTTCCGTTATTTCAAGCTTTCATTGCTTGATCTCTAATATAATTGATTCAGACTTGGTTCAACCTGTTATTCCTTGCACACAGTTTTTATAAATAAAAAATTTGACCACGTGAATAGAAGGTATATACCAAGGAAATCAAAAACATACAAAAGTATAACTGAATCATTCAGTACTCGAACAATTGTTATTTATTAATATTATTATAATGTATGTATTGAAAATAGGCAGCAGCAGATAAAAATTATATAGCATCAATGCATATTCACATACTTACTCTATTTATTTGTATTAAATGTGAACTTAATACACAAATATTAACAGGCCAAAATCCTGTACACTTTTAAAAAGTAAGAATACTCACTGAAGAACTGAACTTGTCCACAATCATCTCGAGTACATCAGTGTCTTCAATCCACTTCATCGCATCCACGTGATTTACATACATATGCTCATCTGCGCCAATCAAGCGAATCAAAACCTGGTTTGTGGAAGAGAAGATTCACCATTAGAATCAGCACACATGCACATACATAGATGTAAATGAAGATATCTATTTTTTATATTTAATAAGGGTTTTTAATTTCCTATTATTTATGGTTTGGATTTGGGATAAATTATTTTCGATAGCCTGATTTGTACACCATAATAGATGTCCCAGCAAGGACAATTTGCAGATATTCTCACCAAAGGTTGAGCAGCCCGATTTCTGAGCGAATTGTATGAAACGGAAATCATCTATTGAACAGCTTGAGGGGAAAGTCTGTCTATTTCAGAAATGAATATGTTATGAGCTGTAACTATGCTTAATTTATGTTGTAATTAGTGTAAATTCCACAAATCAAGGAATCATAACATTAACATTATTATTAGAATTAATTATCTAATACTAGGAATCCTATAAGCAATCAAATCAAAATTTTGGAAAGTGAATATTATCCTAAAATTCTTGTTTTATATCAATCCTTAGGCCCCAAATTAGGTAGTTATAGAGTTGCCAGAAGTTGGGAAAGGGAAACCAGACACTTGAACCAATATGCTTTCAGGATGTCGAAGAAAGAGCGTTTATCATAAACTTTTTCTAAATAGACTTCAAATTCAAGGGGAGGGTCGAACTTACTCCTGCTAGAAAAGAAAGTGATATTCTGAAGATAAAAGAAGCAAGGTTATTTCTCCTAGCCAGCCTATCGCTCCCGTGCCTTAACCCCTGTTTTTAAAACCTTAGACTCTAAATACTTTTGCTCCCAACCAACGGACTTCAAGTGAAACCTCTCTGACTACAAGCTAGCGCAATGTGCATTGTGATGCTCAATCTTTAAATGTGGATGAACAGTACATGTTTGATTTAAGATTGTTGATTGATGTTCGATATTTAGGACTTCTATTCTATTTTGAAATATCTTCTTCCAGATTAGAATAGGCATATCATATTAATACCATTGGTTTGTTGATCTATAAATAGTTCTTAGTGTAAACATTTCGACATTTTTTATTTGATTGTGCTTTTGAGTTATCTTCCCCCTCAAATAGTATTTGGGGTGGGACGCTGGGAAGGAGTTGTTGCACCACACTCACACATACACTCACATGAAAAGAGAATACAAAAGAGGAGCAAAAATTCAGTTACCAATGGAAGTAAACAATTATTTAATATTTTAAAATAATAATTCCAATACACATTATTGACAATGAATATGGCTAAAATGATACTAACAGACAGTAAAGCAAGGAATAAATGTTGCCAAAAACCAACCTCCATGATAGATGTAATCCCAATCAACTCAACTAGTTTCTTCACAATTTCCTGGTGAGCCTGG